TTTTCCCCCCTTTTTTAAATATTTCATAAATGATGTTTAACAGAGCATAGAAATTTTCACAGTATGTCTGATAATATTTTTTCTTCTAAAGAAAGTTTTATTTGTTTCATTTTGACTAGGATAAAAGCGTTTTTAAAAAAATGTAAAGACCATTTTAAGGTCAAAATCATTAGCCCCTTTAAGCTACTATTTCAATAGTCTACAGATCAAACTATCATTTGTTGCCTAATTACCCTAACCTGCCCAGTTAACCTAATTAACCTAGTTATTTATTAAGAATTATTAGCCCCCTGTTTATTTTTTCCCCTAATTTTTGTTTAATGGAGAGAATATTTTTGTCAACACATTTCTAAACATAATAGTTTTAATAACTCACTTCTAATAATTGATTTATTTTATCTTTGTCATGATGACAGTAAATAATATTTGACTAGATATTTTTCAAAACACTTCTATACCGCTTAAAGTGACATTTAAAGGCTTAACTTAATTAGGTTAACTAGGCAGGTTAGCGTAATTAGACAAGTTATTGTATCACGATGGTTTGTTCTGTTTCGTTGTTTGACTATCGAAAAAAAGTTAGCTTGAAGGGGCTAATAATTTTGTTCTTAAAATGGTGTTTAAAAAATTTAAAACTGCTTTTATTCTTGCCAAAATAAAACAAATAAGACTTTCTCCTGAAGAAAAAAATATTATCATCAGACATACTCTGGAAATTTCCTTGCTCTGTTAAATATCATTTGGGAAATATTTAAAAAATAATAATAAATAAATAAATTAAAAGGGGGCTAATAATTCTGACTTCCACTGCATATACAAAAACACATGAACATTGGTATGAGCCAGTTTATCTCAAAAAAAAAAAAATTTGATTGCAGGAATTCATACAAATTAGCTAACAATTTGCCAAAATATCAGATATAAATTAGTGTAATATTATTGCATATGATTCTAATCCTCTTTGTATAGTGCCTCACAAATGAGGAGTTGTATTTAAAAAAAAAAAAAAAACAGTTGGTAAATTTCACAAGGATTTGAATTAATAATAGCACAATCAAAATACACGGGAAAAAAATGATTTCAGCAAAATTGTTGCAAACTATTTCAATGGGCTTAATTTAAACAAACAAATAAAATTTAGTAATTTGTTTAACCAAAGTTAAGTAAATTTAGTAATTTGTGTACAACCACTTGCTTTTTTGTAAATCCAATTAATCATCTTTAAATCTCTCTTTTTTCTTCTTCAAATGATAATAAAAATGTATTTTAAAAAAGTTTCTTAAAGCACATTTGTTTTTCATTTTAATGCTTAGTTTCATTTTTTTGTTCCAAGTCAACGCGAATCAGAGAAAAGACTAAAAGGGAATTTTCCAAGAACTTTCAGTATAATTTCTTAAATGTTGCGTAAATATTAGCATGTGACGTTAATAAAATAACATTTTGATGTTAACATTCATGATGTTTGATATTTATGAAGGCTCTCATAATGTTGATAAAAAACGTTTTTATAATGTTAAAATAATTGGAATGTTTAAATGTTTTAATTAATTACTAACATGCTTTGAATAGCAATATAATAAGTACCCATAGACTTACACAGAATCTGAGTGTGCAAAAATCTGCAGATTTCTAGCCCATCATGGAGTCTATTCATCTACTAGTGTAAATGTGTGTAAATTTATATTTATGCAGTTTTAAAATTAATTTCAGTAATATTATTAACTAACATGAAAATATTCATGATTTATTTACAATAGCTTGTGAAGTAATATTTTCTGCCTTTTAATAGATATATGTGGTATACTTGCTTTGTTTAGAAAATAATGTGGATCTAATAGGATTTGCATTGTAAACATTAAATAAAGTTTTTAAAAAGGTATTTTTAAAATTTTATTTAATATATCAAGTTTTTAGTTATGATACTCCCTAAAATCATTCCACATAAATCTGCAGCTTTTTTACAAAATTCTGCGCAGACATAACAAAAAATGTCTGCAGATTCTGTCTGGCCCTAATCATTAAGGTTAGCTATAGAAGTCGGGCATAGACCTAGTCTAAAATAGTTACTCTGTGAACATTCAAAGATTTTTTTTATTTTTTTATTTAGTCTCTTCAAGCATTATTTTGATTATGAGGAAAATAAAAATGTACATGCATGAATAAATAGTTTACAATATATTCAACAAATATGAACTTCAGTTTTGATTTCATGTGGCCCTTCCTCTGTGTTGGAACTGTGCTTGTCGCCAGAGGAGGTTACCCACCCCTACAAAAATCTAATACAGAAAGCAGTTTTTCCCCTTGATGTGACTCACTTGGTGTTTCCAGTACAGGAGATGAGTAGCAGACGAGAAATCTCTCCGTGACGTTGTTCGACTATCAACAAGCATGAAACTACGTAATCAGAAACAGCTCTGAAAGAAAGCACACATAACAACTATAAAGCAGCAGGCAGATAACGTAAATGGAAAGTGGCTTAGCACCATCATGGCCATCCTTTAATTATTTCACAAGCATGTCATCATCCCATAACCCCTTTTTAGATCTCTCGGCCTTTTCTCAATGCTCTCTGGGACTCGGGAGAGCAGCCGCGGCTCGACTAATGGCTAAACGAAAGCCCATAATGTCCGTCATTGACAGAGACTGCATGTTGAGAGCCAAAGCTGGTCTTAAAGCGACTAATGTTACCTTTTGACAGCAATTTGCCGATATCTGCCTTTAAAAGAGGCTGTGGGGAAACGCGAAGACTCCAGGTACCGTGGCGTTCAGTCGCACTTAAGCGCGTTGTTTAATAATCTCCTCGAGAGCGCGCTTTTTCTTTCAACGGTTCAACCGCCAAATCGCCAGATAAACTAATTAAAGTCAAACTCCCTCTTGGGTTTTTGGATTTAACCTCATTCTGTTCTGGAGAAGAAGATTAAGACCTTCTGCTAAAGCTACGGGTTTACCATATAAACACGAACTTGACATTTCACAAAATACACATGAAAATGCTAATTGCTTTTCTTGGATGCATCCAAATGATTGCATATTAGCCCATTGCTAATGCTACTATGTCTATAAGATTTAAGGCATAACTATGTTAAAGTCTAAATAGGATACAGTTGCAGATACCCACATTATAGCATCATAATTGTGACAATAACAATAATTTTTCACTGTGATGGTTGAGTTTAAGGTTGCGGGATAGACACTAAAAAATACAATATATTGGGCAATTTAATTAATAACTTGGCACAACTGTTTTTACATTCGTCTGAAGGTTGGGTTTAGGGTTAGGGTAAGGATAGACATTCAAAAAATACAATTAATGGGAAATTTAATAAATAATTCTTAATAAATAAATAACACATTTAAATATTGAAGTCACTTCCATTAATCAATAAAAAATAAAAATGAAGGACTCAGAACTCTGACCTTTTTTGCTCAAAATTTGTGTAATTAGTACTGAAAAAATAACCCTCTCTGCGCAAAAAAAACAAACATTTCCAATTTTAGATCATGACTCCATAAACTTAAAAGTACTGAAACTTGAACAGCTTAATACCTCATAGCATTTACTAAACATTTATAAATTTCTATAAAGATATAAGCTAGACATTTCTGTAATTTGACTTACTAAATAGTTTTCCTAATAAAACATACATCAAACTGGTCAAATACAAAGTAAATACAAAGTCATAAAAAAAAGACATCTTTTTGTCGATCAAAGTTATGCCAGATTAAACCCTAAATAGTCCGTTTTTATATTAATGCAAAATTAAAGTTTTTTTCCCACTAAATAGCTAATCACTGATTACTAATGCCTGAATAAAATATGAAAAATGTTAAAATGATAGCACCTAAATATTAAAGCTTGCTGTAAAAATGTTGCTCTGCCCAATATTAACACTCACGCTAGAGAATTGGACACAAACGTTCAAACATCTCAAATTAGGGAAATAAATTGTAATACTTAGGTGGATTACTCAGGATAAGAAAGTAAGTCAAGGAAGACTCAACATTTCAATGTTGGAGGGAGAAGGGAATAACATTACTGTGCTGTGTAATTAAAGGAGATATGGACAGTTCTCAAAACTAAAGGATATCGTTTGGCTTACCAATCAAGATTTTTTTTTTAGATATCTACAGCTAAGAGATTATTATAACAAAGGAAAATCAAAATAAACAATAACTCTTCACTCACTAAAATGGTGATGAGTGCCTAAAAGTAAAAATGTTGACATAATAATTCTGTGATTTGCCTTGTCTGTATCTGTTTTATAGACTCAAAGTGCCCCTTGCCACTGCATTAAATAAACCACAACGATTAAATATTCTACTTAACAAAGAAAAAAATCTTGAATGTCCTAAATTAAAAATTAAAAGCAACCTGTAATTTTTGGTTGAACCGTCCCTTTAAACACATTTGCTCAAGCTAAAACTCTAAGAGGGGTGTTCAAAGTTGGTCCTGAAGGGCCGGTGTCCTGCTGATCTTAGCTCCAGTTTGCTTCAATACACCTGCCTGGAAGTTTCTAGTATACCTAGTAAGACCTTGATTAGCTTGTTCAGGTGTGATTGATTAGGGTTGGAGCTGAACTCTCCAGGACACCGGCCATCCAGGACCTTGTGTGGGCACCCCTGACTAGGGATATATCTATAAATAAATATAAATAGTAAATATTATATTACATTCAAATGGTTCAAAACGATTATGTTTCTTTTTTTTTGTTAAATACAGTATAATTTGAGATAATTTGAAAGATAATTTGAAGAATGTTGGAAACATGTAACCATTGACACCCGTAGTAGGAAAAACAAAAACTATGGGAGTCAATGATTAAAAAACTCAACAGGCAAAAGCTCAAACAGATTTGTGTGTGAACTATCCCTTTACCCTTTGTCTCTTTGTAGATGAATAGTGGACAATAAGACATGCGGAAGAAAAGTAAACAGCTTCCGTTTTCATTTTACACTGACTCCAAGATCTCAAAGCAGGCAACTCACAAGAAGAAGACTCTTTTTGCAGTACATCTATATCATCATCATCATATTTATTGTGAGAATATGAAAGGCATAGATGATCATAAAACAATCGTGATATCAGATTATCTACCGATAATAACATCCCACTTCATTTTGGCAGACGGTTTGCTTCATACTTGAGGATTGCACAGAATAGGAACCAACTCAAACAGAAAAAAAAAAAAAAACAACATCCTCTGACTGTGGTAACTAAACCACACACACACAAACATCAACACATGCATACATAGTAGATATATATGTTAAAAAAATAAGCCAAAATATTCTGAGGTGTCGGTCTGCTAGATGTGACTTCATAAAAGACAAGTGAAGACTGGCTCCTGATTGTTGGATGATTGTAGTTGATGAAACATCGGTACCCCAGAATGCATTTGTGCGCAAGGCAGTGTTTCATACATACAGCACAATGGAGACCTGAAATTCCAGCGCTCTGCTCAGACGCTAAGCCTCATGGGAACCGGTGCTCGAGTCAGGAGTGCTTGCGGAAGGTGAAAATGTCCCGTTTCTTGGAGCCCCGCTTGCCCTCGATGGGCTGGTTGGGGCTGGGTAAGGGCGGGCTTTCGGGGGTGGCAGTGCCTCCATAGGGGCAGCTCTGAGAGTCTGGATGCTCCCCGGAACATTCTATGGCAGGGATGTAGCGGCTGTCCCACATTCCAGGTCCGCAGAGTTTACACAGGTCATGTAAGCTGCAGGGGATTCTGGGAAGAAGGCGGAATTGATACAGAAGACTACGTGCCTAGGATTAGAAAATGAGAAAGTGAGACGAGAATTGCAAAAAAATACCAGGAAAAAACTGTTAAATATACAGTAATATAATTCTTAAATTATTTTCCTTCAGCTTAGTCCCTTTATTCATAAGGGGTCGCCACAGTGGAATGAACCGCCAACTTATCCAGCATATGTTTTACACAGCAGATGCCCTTCCAGCTGCAACATATCACTGGGAAACATCCATACACACTTATTCACATACATTGAATTCATCTATAGAACATGTCTTTGGATTCGGGGGGAAACTGCAGCACCTGGAAGAAACCCACACCAACACGGGGAGAACATGCAAACTCCACACAGAAATGCCAATTGTCCTAGCCAGCTTGTTACTGTATATAATATAACATAATATAATATAATATAATATAATATAATATAATATAATATATTTTTTGGAGGTAAAAAAGGTCAAGTTTATGAGTTCAACTGATAAACAGACAGATAAACACACGGACAGATGGATAGATAATGAATTAAATGAACTAATAAATAAAACATATACTAATACAAAAAACAATCCCACACATACATTTATATTAGGGATGCAACAATACAGTTAGCCCACGGTTCAATACATACCTTGGTTTTTTAACACGGTTTTTGGTTCGGTTTGTTTCTCATGGTTTGACACGTGTTTTTTTATTTTATTTATTTTTTTATTATTCTATAGGCAATAGGAACAGTAAAAGGTTAAGAAAAAATTTTTTATTGCAATACTCCTTTTGTTTTACTTTAAAGCCAAGATAAGTACACTAGTTCCTAGTGTATTGTATAAAAAAAAGTTAACACTGATATCTCACAGCTGCTGGTAGCCCATGTACAAACTGGGGAACACATAAAATCCTACATTTTGAAAATAAACATACATGAAGCTAATTAAGATAAATTGGCCATTTCAAATAAACATATTTGTACTTACGTAAACATAAATAAATCATCTTAATTATCTCGGTGCTGAAAAAATGCGATACTGTATTCCAGGGCTTTTCAATTGGCGGCCCGCAGGCCGAACCCGGCCCCCGAGGCAGTTTGTTCTGGCCCTCCAAATAGTGTGTCCAAGACATAAAAACAAATTTAGTTCAGTCGAAAAACGGTCACTATAGCTATGAAGTGACGTGCGTCTGTTCAATTCAGTATGAGCTGCATAGGCCGCGCAGAGCGCGAGTCACCATAAGCGAGTGGGGCAGACAGCCGAAAACATTTGGATATGTTTTGTAGAAAATGCCTTTTGTACAATGTACTGTAATCATTAATAGAGTTGCAACGATTAGCTGATTTTACTATTAACTACGCTTTGATTCGTCACAGTTAAATAATCGTAAAGGCTTCTTTAAGCCGCATTTCTGTTGCACGGAAAAGTTATGACAAGTTGCCAACTGTGCACTAGTTCAAAATTCCAAGTATGTACACCAAGGCTAATACGCATGCACACCGGATTAACGATAGCAGCGGCCGTTCCCATATCACGTCTTTTCCGCTTGCAAGTTTGTTATTTCTAATGTAAGAATGACAATATGCGCGCACAAGCGGAGCAACGCACTTGCCACTGTCTGGGCGCACGCAGTAGAAAACATCTCACGGTGAGAGTTGTGCGTGCCTTTCAGTGCAATGTCAGGCCCCCTAACTTTAGAGCATAGTGATTGGATATTTACTCGCGGGGAGGAGTTTCCTTATCTCAGCTCATGGACTTACAGGCACACACAGTCAAGATATAAAACGCACATAAATTATTTAAACGCAAAACCGAGAAAACCGCAATTCACAACACGTATTGAACCGTGGAGGTCGTACCGAACGGTTCAATATTATATTGAGAACCGTGGAATGAATGAATATATATATATATATATATATATATATATATATATATATATATATATATATATATATATATATATATATATATATAAAAATTAAATAAAGGTTTAATTTAGCATTTCATACAAACATTTCAGAGAAATGTCAGACAGGTGGGCCTTTAAAAATTGATAGGAGAAAGAAGTGAGCCCCGCAGTGAAAAAGGTTGAGAACCCCTGGTATAATAGCTGGCTGTATTATAGTATATGATGACATGAGACACCTATGCCACTGTTCTGTCTTTGCAAATCTTTAAACAAACTGCATTTTGTATGTATGAACAAACAAACACCGGTTGTCATTTCAGTGTAGATTTGCATGTTCTCCTTGTGTTGGAGTGGGTTTCCTTGGGTGCTTCAGTTTACCCCACAGTCCAGAGACATGAGCTATAGACTGATTCACGCGGCCACCATTTTAAACAGCAAAATCGAGGCTGCAATGAGAAGAAACCCAGAAGTATCAGAAGTACAGTATGTTGTCAGCGAAGAGAAAGTGACACAAATGTATAATTTCACCGCCTTCTGAGTGACCCGAAGGTCCGTTCTGAAAGACTAGTGAAAATAAAAAAAGTATATTGGACCTCATTTTCAGCTAAAGAGACATGGCACTAGTTAGTTAACGTTTTCTTTCCCAAACACACGTTTTAGATGCCATTTATCAAACTTAAGTTAATGAACTGCTTCGTTCACTATATTAGACTTGTCGCAATACAAAATTTCGGTACTGAAAAAAAAACCCATCCATTTCCTGCAAACATTTATGTACTGTTGATGGGTTTCTTAAACAGCGCAGATTTGCCATTGTGTTCACTTGCTCATCAGAAATGACTATGATTGGCCGTAAAGGTCATCAGTTCACCGCACTTCACTGATGTTTACTGAGTGCAAACACAGACGAGCGATCTGCTGATGAATCAACTTATCTTCACAGCTTTAAAACAATCCAATCTTCTATCTGTGTTTGCAATCTGTGAAGAGCGGTATACTAATGACCTTTAGGGCCAATCACAGTCATATCTGTTGAGCACTGGTGAATACTATGGCAAATCAGAGCTGTTTATAAATGCGCTCAGCGGCGCATAAATGATAGCGGGAATTGGACGTTTTTAAAAGTTCAGTACCGGGACAACACTGTTACAGACAACAAGACGATGTGCTACAGAGAACTGCAGTGTTTTATCGCACACCGGGCTACATAGGCTGAAGCAGGTAAGCGTCTCCATGGTGTTTACCTGCTGCCATGAACTGAAACCTAGGAGGACACTTGAAGCGTTTTACTCTTAAATAAATTGTGATGTTGTTTGATGTCTAATATACTTTTAATTGTTTGAATTAAACAGAACTGAAAGATATTAAAGTGATGCTTACACCATATCTGCATTTTTAAATCGCAGCATCAGCTGGAGGTTTGTAGTCCACAGCAAGTTGTTGCAATGTTTACAGTGCTTATCCTATATTTCCGGGTTTCTTCCCAACGCAGCCTTGCTTTCGTGTTTTCAAATGGCAGCAGCGTGAAATATGCGTTTAGATGAATTGAGTAGACTAAATTGGCTGAAATGTACGAGTGTGTGTAAATGAGAGTTTACGGTGTTTCCCAGTACTGGGAGATCAGCTGGAAGGCCATCCGCTGTGTAAAACATATGCTGGATAAGTTGCCGGTTTATTCTGCTGTAGTAATCCCTGATGAATAAAGGCACTGAGCCAAAGGAATATGAATAAATTAATAAATAAATCAACTATTTGATTTATACTTGATTATACATACTGAAAAGGACATTTTAAAGGTAATATTTAATCAAAACATATATATTCAATTGTAATAATTGACTAAACACTCCAGTGTTTCTATAGATCAAAGACAAAAATATAATACTAAACACACAAATATACTGAACATATAGTCAAAACTATTCATCCACTTTTTATAAACAAATAAACACTGAGAAATATTGAAAATAGAAATACTTTTTCAGAAATTCACATTCAAACATTTATATCAGACTTAACCAAAAAGAGTGATTGCTTATTCATAATCAGCATGATGCATTTCTAATTTTACAAAGACATCTTCAGAAATTACATCTTATTCAAAACCAGTTTTCGCATAGCAACTTTTTTTTTGCAGTGAGAAAAATATGTTTTGTATGCAGCGGTAGAGAGATGCATCACCTCTGCATGACACAAAGACACAACATACATAACCATGAGGAGCTCTGTCAGTCTGAGTGTGTGTGTGTGTGTGTGTGTGTGTGTGTGTGTGTGTGTGTGTGTGTGTGTGTGTGTGTGTGTGTGTGTGCGCGCATGTGAACTCATACCTTCCTCAGCACCAGCTCTCCATTCATGTGCATGGAGAGGTTACTGAAGTGCAGCAGCATTTGATCTGTGGCAAGCTGCTGCTCTGTGACATCATCGCCGTACAGCACAATGATGGCAACGCACAGGAACAGGTGAAAGTAGTCCGTCTGTCAGAAAACACACAAATCTCTGATTTCCAAAACAACCAATAAAACATCACACCCTGCACAAGCCGGCCCAATCAAGAAAACCTGAATGCGCCAATTACGAAGGTATGCAAATGAGGGGGCAATAAGGAGGCAAACCACTTTGCTCCCCAAAATCACCTCATCATTGCTATGCCAATGTATGCAAATGGATTCGGGTGGAAGCATGATAATTAGCATCTCATCTTCATTAGACACTCGGTGCGCCCTTAAAGTGATACAGACACCCATTCGTTTATCTAAAAGGAGAGGAATTAACATGTTCTACAGCGTAAGCCAGTCAAAGTGCATTTAAGGATCAACTTAGTCTTGGTTCCCATGAATTCATTGGTTTAAAGACCTCCCGCGGTGAAAAAAAAAAAAAAAAACAGAGCTTTTCACTTTGTTTATTACAGTACATGTCTGCTGTTTCATTTATTAGGCTTAAATACAACGATTTTTGCGTAGCTTGCTTTCAATCAGTGGAGGAAAAAGCACTTAGAAATCATACTCAACTTAAAGTACCATTACTTGTCAATAAATGATGTGAAACTAGAGTAAAAATGTTTGTAAACACAACTCAAACAAAGTAAAAAGTAGGCCTTTTGAAAGTACTCAGTATTACACTGTGAAATTTATTCCACTTTAAACCCTGCAAATTAAAAATGTAGATTACATCAGTGCCGTTTTCTTTTCAGTGTGTTCAAAGTGCAAGTTAAATTCATTCATAGACTATACATTTAAAATGTGAGATTAATTTAAAGTGAGAACGCATTACATCAATCTATGCAGCTATAACAAGTCAAGTGAGAGCAGGTTGATGCGTTTACATGCAGAGTGAAATCTGTCTAACTTAATGGGCAAAACTCTGTTGATATGTTAACACTTTGGATACTGACTAACAAGCTACGCGTGTCTAGCAATTGGACGTGCAGCACTGATAGAATACGTGCAATTTGAGCATGTGTTGAAAACGTAACATTCTGTAGTGCATTTAGAGGTAACACTTTAAAATAATGGTTCATTAGCTAGCGTTGGTTAATGTACTGTTTACTAACATGAACAATTAGTAATACATTTATTACTGCATTTATACAACTTTGTTAATGTTATTTAAGTTTAATAACGTTAGTTGCATTAATGCTTACACTCGCAACTTTTAACAACGCACTAATTACTGTTGAAATATGATCGATAAATGCTTTAAAACAGATTATTTATACTTGGCTGATGTCAATAAATACATTACATAACAATAAGTATTGCACTCTAAAAAACGTTGAGTTATTTATTTAACCCAATGGTTAAGTTATACAAATTTGGTGCTTTGTTGTTTATTTTTTAAACCTTTATTAGGTTATATATTAATAAATCAACCAGTTGGGTTAAATATTTGGTGCTTTGTTGGAATATTTTTAACCTTTATTTGATTATTTATTTAATAACTCGACCAGTTGGGTTAAAATGTAAAATTTTAACAATCACAGAATTTAACTGACACAGAACAGCTGTATTAATATGCGTGCATAATGTTGTTTTTCGTTATAAAGTTATTTAAGCTCTAACGCAATAATGTTTGTTGTTTTTTTTTTAAATCAAATTAACTCTCCGTGTCGTGTTTTTATATTCGTTTCATCAGCACTCTTAATTATTGATGATACAAATGCGTGCTTTATAGACGATCTATATTAAATGGATAAAACGCTTTCTCCACCTCCCGTGTTTATCTCTACAGAAAATTATACACATATTTGGGATATTCTGCCATCATTCTTGCCTTTATTACCCAGCGGAGAAATTTATTTTTTTACAAAGCCATAATTATAAAATTAATAGTAGTACTTCAATAGTAATTCCAGAATGGAAAAAATAACATTTAATCAAAATGCATTGGGTTAAATTACACTGTAAAAAAAGCTGGGGTGCCGGAAAAAATAAAATAATAATAATAAAATACCAGCCGGTAAATTACAGAAATTTACCATAAAATAACGGATATTAAATAACAGAAATTTCCTTTAATTTAAATTTCTGGTAAATTTCTGTAATTTAATGGCTGTTATTTTATGGATTTTTTCCAGCACCCCAGCAGCCAGAAACAAGCCGTAAAATTACTGATTTGTTTTACAGTCTAAATAACCCAATGCATTGGGTTAAAATGACCTATAGTTGGGAAGGTGCTAGAATAACCTATAGTTGTGTTATCTGTTGGGGTATTTTTAACAGAGTGGACCATTGTTTTAAAGTGTTTTTTTAGAAGATGTTTAAAGCCATTTTGAGATTTTAAATCATCTTTTAATCATCATAAAAGTCGTCCTTCATCTTCACATGCAGTCTCTCGGTCATGGCGTGTAATGATGTAACAATTTTTTATGCCTCACACTGTACAGTACAGGTTAGTTGCATGTATAAAGCGTCCGTGTCCTGATGTCCGTCTACCTGATGTGATTTTTCTATGCGTATATGATTTGATGGGAATTACGGGACTGATTATTCCAATCCTGCCAACATTTGTCTCACAAATTCCAGGAGTGGAGGGGGTAACCAGGTCAGTAACTGTACTGTGGTGTTAGTAACTGTACTATGGAACGGGTTTTGGGCAACCGCTGCAATCGGATACTATAACAAAGTTGACCCAGGGGTGTTACAGAGTGTACCAAAAAGCTGTGAACTGGGGGCAGGGTGAAATCACAGAGTTTTTCCAGAGAAATAACAAACAGGAGGGGGGCGGGACACTGACATACTGCAGACTCCTAGGGAAAACAGGAGTGTTGGCAGGTATGGGTTATTCTACTTTGCCAATTACTTTAGACAAGAAAAAAATAAATATATAAAGTAGTAATTACAGGATGAAAGAATATACTCAATTACAGTAATTTACACCCTTGTCTTTGATTAATCGTCCAGCCCTACTTTGCAATGATATTTTAGCCAATCAAATCATTGGACATTTACTGATACATTTAAAAGACTTGCTCCTCTAATGAATGTAGATACACACTGAAGCTGCGTGTACCTGATAGTGTGCCCAGCAGGCTTCCCACATGCGCAGAGCTTCAGCGTCCGGAAACTCTCGTTTGAAGCACAGCAAGACCCAGCGGTGGCAGAACAGCAGCTGAAGGCCATCCTCACCCAGCCGGGTCAGATGCTGGTGAAACCGGGGCAGCATGAGCCGCAGGAGCTCCCGCAGGTACATCTACACAAACACACACAGGCACAAATGTCATCATTACCATTAATCAACAACAAACGATTAAACTAAAACTTTAAGAATTAGAATACATGGCCTTGAGTTTAGTTTTGAATATTGTCAACAGTAGATTTTAAGGCTATGTGTTAGTATTTAAATAGTCTAGGCAAATTTCAGATGGAGGGCTGGAAGTAAAAAACTAAATGGGAGACATAGAGGAAAGTCTGTATTTCTTTGCGATTTATACCATATTTCAAAGAAGATATAAATAGAAAATAAGAACATGTTGGTCATGATGCTTATATCATGAAGAGGGCTGAGTTTTCTACTGAACTAAAATATATCTGCCTGTCATCGAGGCAGTATATACTGTGTAAGCTATTAAGTGACATGGAAGATACTATAGTATTTGGAATCATACTATAGATAATTACTTGAAATAAACTGTTGTATTAATTGTATTGCTGCTGTGGTACGACACAACTGTAGTAATAAATTATTCAACAGGCTTCGGTTTTCTTTGCTATTATCAAAATACACCACAGTTTAGACTAATGCTGCAGTGTTTATTACAGTTTAACAGTTAATCATGCAACAGTATTCTGTATCATTCAATAACAAAGAGTTGTACACATTATACACTTTATGGTTCAAAAACATTTTTATTACAAATTCCTATAGTTTTCCCCTATGCAGATATAATCCAGATATCACAAAATAACAGATGAAAGAATACAAACGCGTAGACGCATAGTCTACATTATTATTATTTTTATTCTTGTAAGGGTGAAATGGTGCTGCACAATAATAACCATCTAGTTTTGTCGCAAAGGGCTTTTTTTTGTTCAGTTAATGAACTTGACCACCAACAAGCATTCACAGCTGCTGCATCTCGATGTTAAGGTTACAGTTGTTTATTCTGCCGAAACGTCAGTAAAGATTTGGATTATAACACATTAAACACATTTATACACCTAGCTAGGCCTGTATATAATCTTAATTGGTGAATTATCACGATGTTCTGATTGAGATTCTATGCAGACAAACCACTTCCTGGCCTCCATTTGAATTTTGGGCATCATCAGCTTCCAGGAGAGGCTAGAGCTTCCATGCAAAGTTGCTTCCCTGAGTATGCGTCAATAGCGGCGCCACATTCGTACAGTGCTCCCAGGACAAATGTCATTCAACTGCACAAGACAAAACTACAGCCAATGTGAAGATGCTTGACTTTAGCGGTGTGCACGTACGTTGTAACGACCAAACAAAGCACAAAGCCAAAACCTTTCTTAGGCTAGATTTAATTTCTTACGTTTTTGTTTGTTACAAACTTTTGTGCTTAACAAGTAGCCTATTGATTATAACACAGTCTCTTACTGCACTGACCATAAGGCATTTTTTGTTAAATAAAGTCAGCAAACAATAAGAAATTTGAAAAGACGCTGCGGTGCTAGAAACTTGTATTATTGTCAGATAAGTGAACGAGTCATTCATAATGGAGATTCATTCACAAATCGAATCGCTTCATTAGAATGACAAGTAAAAGCAGAAGAGGGGCTGTGTTTCAGGACACAGATTAGATCTTATTTAACAGGGAGGGAGGATAATACATTTCCATGCACACAAACACATGGTGTTTGTCGGCAATGCCTGTGCTATCACTTATCTATCGATGTAGAAAAATTATGTAAAATTATAATATTCGTAATGTAAAAAATATTTGCTTACTGACCACTAGGAAAACTCTGTATGTAATTATGTATATATGTGTATATATATATATATCTGGCTCTGGATGGCCAGTCCTCCACTGCATCTTGGTCCTGCATTCATTTCAAAGCAACGCTACCCTGTACTAAAATGGCAGCTCTATTGACTCATTCCATCCAATAGACATCTATAGCGTAGGCGACATCTAATGTACATATCTATGAAAACAAACTATTTACAAGGTTCCCATATTTTTTTTAAAAGCACCATTATTTTTAAATTATACACCATTTATATAACAGCACATGTTATATCGCCAAAAAAGTCCTTAATGTACTTAACATTTCACTTAGGGTGCTTTCACATCTGTCCTTCACTTCATTTGGTCCAGACCAAGGGCAATAAATGATGCATTGTAGCATTGTCTGCTGTCTTTGGGTCCTTTTCACACCATACTGATTTCTTGGGTCCGAACCAGTTGAAAAGAACCAAAATGCAGTCATGTGACAAAATCCACACCACTCATTGGCCAGGTGCTGTTAAACATATTCCCTAAACTGCTTTTCGATTGGTCAGAATTCACGTCTGGGAAGATGCCAATGAAACTCCCGCAAGTAAACAAACCGGCAGACACAAAATGTCACTTTTGACTATGGAGGGAGGGATGCGCTCACTGATTGCATCACTCCTCATAGTATACTATACAGTTTGTACACATCACTTTAGACAAACTATACATTTCGAGAATGAAGTGCGGCTGTAAAACAATTAATGCATTGCAAACGGCGTAGGAGCACGGTAAAGTAGTAATAAATTAATTGGTTTGAAATCGAATGTCTCATGAATGTCAAACATAAAACTAACTTTACCGCGGGCACCTCTTTAAGGAGGTCTCGTCTGCTTTTTTGGTCCGCTTTTTGTGCGCACTCGAGTGCGATTGCTATATTTACAACTGCCTAAACAAACCACATCAAGAGGGTAAACGAACTCTGATGCGATTCAACCGAACTAAATAGGGCAGGTGTGAAAGCACCCTTAGACTTAATATTTAAGTTTAAAATGTCGGAGTAATTTTCTACAATTGACCATTTTAAATAGTAATGTTCAAAGAACTACACTAAATGTGTTCAATTCAATGCTGGTAATACTCAATTGTGGTTTCTTAAATATTGTTAAAATGTGCATCAATTGTCTGTGTTATTGTACAAGATAAAAATTCAAGCTTTTAGATTTTTATTTAAGCTTTACAATAGTGTGTTAGGGTAAGGGTTAGAAACCGAACCATCACAGAACCATGAAACAAACTGAAAGTTTTGCGAACCGTTCCACCCCTAACAGGGCACAGTATGCGGGCAAAAGCTCAAAAGTTGATAGGCAGCATGTGTTTCCTCACCAGCTGTCTCTCCATATCCTCGTCTCTCGGAGAGCTGATGAAGATGGTGTTCTCCATCAGACCCACGAAACACCAGAACGTGTCGCTCTCGTCCTGGATCTCAGTCAGCAGAGGAGCCACCAGGTCGGACATGCCCTGACAGTAGCCCATGTCTGGGTTAAACACCGCATAGTTCAACAGGATACGCCTGGCACACAAATACAACTTCAAGTTCTCAGTAAAGCCAGTAAAAAAGTTTAAATTGAATAAATCCTATTCATTTTCATTTATTCATTCATTCATTCATTCATTTTCTTGTCGGCTTAGTCCCTTTGTTAATCCGGGGTCGCCACAGCGGAATGAACCGCCAACTTATCCAGCAAGTTTTTACACAGCGGATGCCCTTCCAGTCGCAACCCATCTCTGGGAAACATCCAAACACATTCACACACACTCTCATACGCTACGGACAATTTAGCTTACCCAATTCACCTGTACCACATGTCTTTGGACTGTGGGGGAAACCAGAGCACCCAGAGGAAACCCACGCGAAGGCAGGGAGAACATGCAAACTCCACACAGAAATGCCAACTGAGCAGAGGTTCAAACCAGCGACCTTCGCTGTGAGGCGACCGTGCTACCCACTGCGCCACTGCCTCGCTCTATTCATTTTAGATCATAATATCTTCTGAAACCACCTTTATTTACTAGGTTACATTTTCACCTAATTAATGTTTAATTCAATGATCTTCCATTTTCCTTTAGAATGTCTCCTACTTTGGAGCTATTTAAGAGGTCACTGAAAACACTTATTTTATTAGCCTTTAATCAGGTGTTGTCGGTTTGTGTATTTTGGCTCTTTGCTTGTTTGCATGTATTATGTGTTTTTGTGTACAGCCCTTTGGTACACATTGTGGTTGGTTGAAAGTGCTCTAGAAATAAGCATTTATATTGACTGTAGAAGGACAATAATAAATATAATTAATAAATAATTAATAACCATAAATAATAAATAAATAAAAATATATATCTGTATAATAAAAACTAAATCTGCCTGTTAAAATGTGTATGTGAATATCTAATGTATGTAAAACCAGCTCTGCAAAGTTTTGAAATATAAACCAATATTTGTGTGTGCAGATGGACTGATGTCAATGCATATGCTTCTTTCTAACCTCATGATTTCTACATTGGGGTTGTTTTCTCCTCTAAAAAACATGTTGCTTCGGTCCGTCCTGACAACATCTTTATCCACCGTGAACTGGACCTTCCTCCAGAACTCACTGTGCTCTTCTGGACTCATGGACAACCTGCGGACAAAGAGCAACACATCAAATCCAAAGCAGAGGAAGAAGAAAAACACAGGACAGGTAAAGAACAGGGCAGCTATAACCTCATAGTTGAGGTAAAACAAAAAACATAAGAAAACAAAAATGAGTGTACGAGAAAAAATAACTAAACTATATATAACAAAAAGTTACTGGAAGAAAACAAAACTGCAATAACAAAAACATAAAGGTAAAGGAATAAAGGGGCACTTTAAGAAAAGCACAGCAAAGAACAGAAAAATAAATCAATGAAATAAAAATAAATAAATAAAATAAAAATGAGAAAATCTTGACAAAAAAAATTTAAAATAAAAAGTAAAACAAAACATAAAAGGTAAAGGAAAAGGGCAGTTTTATGAAGAAGAGATCAATAAAATAAAATGAAAAAAAAAAAGGAAAACAAAACATGAAAGGTAAAAGATCAGGGCAGCTTTAAGGAGAAGAGAGCAATAAAATAAAATAAAATAAAATAAAATAAAATAAAATAAAATAAAATAAAATAAAATAAAATAAAATAAAATAAAATAAAATAAAATAAAATAAAATAAAATAAAATAAAATAAAATAAAATTAACAAAAGAGGAAAAGAATAAAGAATAAGAAGAGGAAAGCAATAAAATTAAATAAAGAAAATGTTTAAACTACAAAATAGTGCCTAAAAGAAAGCAAAACAAAAGCAAAAGGACAGCAAAAGGGGACATTTGATTTGAGGCTGCTTTAATAAATGTGTTTATAGCTTTTAACTTTAAGCCAGCTATCATGAAGCAACAATGTCCACCGAGTTTACCCCCGTTGAGTGATCCTTAGTTTGACTTTACGGTGATCGCCTACTCTTCCCTGTTGATGACCCTTGATCTACTTTCTGCATGATCTGAATTTCTGGTTTTGAATTTTAGGATATCGAATTTGATGTTCTTGAAAACTAGAAACTGTATTTTGACAAACTGGATATCTGCAGTCTATGAATTCAGAGCACAAAACAAATCTGAATTCTTTTTTGAAAAATTCTGCCTAAAAAAACTCAGTTGTCTTAAAATTCAGATGTTCAATATTCAAGTTATAAAATTCCAAACAATTTTTATGGCATATACTGTAAAAATTTAGATTTATTAAATTACAATTGCAAATAATTAAAATTCAAATTCACATTGTTTTGGCATGTCATTAGCTCCATAGGGACATTAAAGAACTAACAAATAAAATACGAATTCCCCCACAAAAAAAGAGAAAATAACTATACAAGGAGAGAAAGATAAAGACAACCAAAACACATAAAAAAAATTAAACACAAAATAATCCTGACACATAAAAAACAGGGAAGCTCTAAAAAGAGAACACCAAAGAGCCAAAAAAGTAAACAAACTAACAAAAATGAAAATGAAAGAAAAAGAAACAATAAAATTGAACAAAGTTGGAAAACATTACAAAAAAAAAACACAAGATAACTAGAAAAGAGAATGTGATTTTTTTAATGCTATAAAGGAACAGAACAGGCCAGAATGAAATGGACTAATGGAACAAAACAGAACATTGTAAACAGAGAACAGAACAGGATAAAATGAAGCGTAACGGAACATGAAGTCTGCGTCCCTCTGGCTGCACACTCTCATAATAAGCAGGTGGGATTTCATTAACACTGTTTGTTTTGCTGGAACTGATGGCGGGCCTGATGCAACTTCATGTAAGTGTTTCGGGGCCTGTGTTTGTGTGTACTATTCCCAATTCACGCTCTCTGACTCCCTCTCTGGACCCTCGAGGCTCACAGCGCACATACAGTACATACACACACACACACACACACATGCACAGTCAACCTATTAATTATTAATTAACACTGTCAAAAATGATCTTGAAATAGTGTTGAGATAATAAAATAATCAAAATCATGGAATATAAACACGTCTATACTGTACAGATTTACAGATTTTTTGTAGTCAAAATATTTTGAAAGACCATTACATTTACAAATTATGAAACAAAACTACACTATTTTATAATTAAAATTAGTAAAAGAATAAAAAGTAATAATTAATGAATGACTAAAAATAAAATAATTGACATCAAATGTACAGTGCATCCGAAAAGTATTCATAGCGCTTCACTTTTCCCACATTTCTTTATGTTACAGCCTTATTTAAAATGGATTAAACTTATTTATTTCCTCAAAATTCTACACACAATACCCCATAATGACAATGTGAAAAAAAGAGTTTTTGAAATTGTTGCAAATTTATAAAAAACAATCTATGCCGTGAAGCTCTAAATTGAGCTCAGGTACATTCAGTTTCCACTAATCATTCTTGAGATGTTTCAGCAGCTTAATTGGAGTTCACCTGTGGTAAATTTAGTTGATTGGACATGATTTGAAAAGGCATACACCTGTCTATATATGGTCCCAGGGTTGACAGTGCATGTCAAAGCACAAACCAAGCATGAAGACAAAGGAATTGTCTGTAGACCTCCGAGACAGGCTTGTCTCGAGGCACAAGGCTGGGGAAGGTTATAGAAAAAAAGTTCTGCTGCTCTGAAAGTTCCAATGAGCACAGTGGCCTCTGTAAGTGGAAGATGTTTGGAACCACCAGGACTCTTCCTAGAGCTGGTCTGCCATCTAAGGGAGTGATCGAACGAGAAGGCCTTAGTCAGGGATGTGATCAATAACCCGACAGTCACTCTGTCTGAGCTCCAGTGTTCTTCTGTGGAGAGAGGAGAACCTTACAGAAGAACTGTGCAGCAATCCACCTATCAGGCCAGTATGGTAGAGTACCCAGATAGAAGCCACTCCCCAGTTGGAATTTGCCAAAAGGCAACTGAAGGACTCAGATAATAAGAAACAAAATTCTCTGGTCTGATGAGATAAAATTGAACTCTTTGGAGTGAATGCCAGACATTATGTTTGGAGAAAACCTGGCACCGTTCATCACCAGGCTAATACCATCCCTACAGTAAAGCATGGTGGTGGCAGTATCATGCTGTGGGGATGTTTTTGCAGCAGCAGGAACAAGAAGACTAGTCAGGATAGAGGGAAAGATGAATGCAGCAATGTACAGAGACATCCTGAATGTAAACCTGCTTCAGAGTGCTCTTGACCTCAGACTGGGGCGACGGTTCATCTTCCAGCAGGACAATGAACCAAAGCACACCGCCAAAATATCAATGGAGTGGCTTTACAACAACTCAGTGAATGTCCTTAAGTGGCCCAGGCAGAGCCCAGACCTAAATCCTATTGAACATCTCTGGAAAGATCTGACAATGGCTGTACATTGCCGCTTCCCATTCGGCCCGATAGAGCTTGAGAAGTACTTCAAAGAAGAATGGGCAAACATTCCCAAAGGCAGGTGTGCCAAGCTTGTGGCAACATATTCAAAAAAACTTGAGGCTGTAACTGAATTGCTATGAATACTAATGCACTGTATACACGTTTTTTGTATTTTTAATAACTTTTGAAATTATTAAATGTTAGAAATTTCCATGCACAATATACACGTATTAATTAAAAGACCAACAAATATATTCATTAGACATTATAGTAATAATAATTTTAAAAAGATAATAAATAATAATAATAATTCGTATAATAAGTGCTCCGGTTTTCCCCACAAGTCCAAAGACGTGCTATAGGTGAGTTAGGTAAGCTAAATTGTCCGTTGCGTATGTGTGTGATTGGGAGTGTATGGATGTTTCCCAGTGAAGTGTTGCAGCTGGAAGGGCATCCGCTGCATAAAACATATGCTGGATAAGTTGTCAGTTCATTCCACTGTGTCAACCCCACATTAATAAAGGGACTAAGCCAAAAATGAATGAATGAATGAATGAATGAATGAATGAATGAATGAATGAATAATAATAAGTTAATTAAATTTAAACCTGGAAAGAAAAAAATACATATTAATAATAAATTATATAGTTTCTATTCATTTATTTATTCAATTAATGATTTATTTTTTCATGCATTTTGAATTGTTAAATATTTGAAATAATTACAATTTTTTAAATTAAAAATGTGCAAAGATATACCAAGCTGATTTTTTTTAACGTAATCAGTTTAAATAAAAAAATCAATACAATCAAATCATTTTCAAAAGCAATGTAGTATTACCAGAAATAAAGAACTAAATTGTGTTATCATCTGCAGCCCAAGCATCAGGCTCTATAAGTGCCCTATCAATGGCCTGACAATGATTTAATTGATCGAGTTAATTATTTCCTCTGAACACATCAACAGTGTAAATCTGCTCACATTTATTGATTGCCCATGGCTCATTTGACACCAGCGCTACTAGAAAAGCCTTCTGAGACTTGCAATGAAATGACAACAGGACAGTAAGTAATAATCACGATAATCACTGCCACATGGCCATGTTATAAACACAGCTGTCTATTGTTACCTATCCTTAAACAGAACATCATTACCAGGGCATATGCTGACAATTTGAGCACTTGCAGCCGAATAACACTCAGCTTTCATAAGATTGGTGCAGAGATGCGAGTGGTTATGATGCATTTTCAGCCCATGCTACATTGATTTCATGTAATGGCTCACAAACCACAAAACCAAACACAAATCAGCTGGCCTGATGCGTCACAACAGCTCCGTTTACATAGAAAGTCTCCTGTTTCAGACTCCAGAAATATCAGATTTGTAAACAACAGGTTATGTCAGCCGGCCAACTCAAACAAGAGTCAGCAACCTGCGGTGCAGCTTTGCATTTTAAATGAAAAAGGGGAGAAAAGCTAGCAACAATAGGCCACAGTTTTCTAAAACTCGCAGTTAAAGGTGCTGTATGCCAGTTTTTGACTCTTCTAAAGCCTAAAAATACCATTACATGTTTGCAAATATTTAAGAAACATGCTAAGTGAACATTCCTTTTTATCTGAAAAACAATGCTGATGTCAGATATATAAATGTGAGTTACGTGTCGGAACGCTGTATTTGTTTTGCTTCTTTTAGCCAGCCCAATACCAGTTTAACCAAATATATTTCAGCACCCTGGGTTGTCTTGATGGAAAATAGTGTATTTCATTCATTCACTCAGAAAGGCTCTGAAAGCATGTGCTCGTGACCAAAATGCGACCTCCAAACGAGGCGCAGATTCAGAGTTCCACATGAGGTTTATAACAAATAGGCTAATATAAATATTACAAACGTAAGCATTAGGTGAGCAGGTTACATTGTTACATTGACAACATGCTTCATAACAAGATTTGCAGCGATAAGCAATTGGGCTGTTTGCACTAGACGAAACACAACAGAAATTTAAATACAGCCATTCAGAAGCACAGAGTAGTGCACTTACTGCACTCAACAAAATTATAAGGTTAATAATCTAATTAACACATTAAACCTTTATAACATTATTAAATGTAGGTGCTAAAGTTCAATTTCAAACTTGTTATTTTATTTTCAAGATCTGAGGTGAACCATCTGCAGATGCTTTCAGTAGTTAATGTCAGGTAAAATGGCATTCAAACTCACATTATCAGCACTTAACACTAAATAAAGCACATGAGGTGTACCTGAGGTGATCATTTTCAGTTTTCTGTTGTTCACCTGTGAGAAATAGAAGAGGTTTCTAATATGGCTCAATAAAACTTTTAATATGGAGAATATTTCTTATATTGCGTGTCGTTTCTTTTGTATTGAACACGATTTAAATCAGCATTCAGTCTTGATAGTCAGACTCGCTCATGTTGGTCCTTAATCTGGCAACCTGCGCTAGTGTTTGTTTTGATCCAGGAATGCAACACCTAGTTCAAGGGTGTCAAACTCAATTCCTGGAGGGCCGAAGCCCTGCACAGTTTAGTTCCAACTCTGCTCCAACACACCTACCTGTAGGTTTCAAACAAGCCTGAAGGACTCAATTAGTTTGATAAGGTGTGTTTAATTAGGGTTGGAACTAAACTGTGCAGAGCTGCGGCCCTTTTGGAACTGAGTTTGACACCTGTGACCTAGTTTAACCAATGGGTGTCAAACTTACTACACTTTTAATAGCTGGAATATCAGTGGAGTCCGCATAATTATGGTTTCATATTAAAATAAAGGTGAGTTAAAGCTGAGAAACTGCAGATAAAAAGGGTTATCCAAAAAAAAAAAAAGTTGAAAAATGTGATTTTTAGCCAAAAGGGTGATTTTGAAAGAGTGGAAAGCCGAATCTGTACCCAAGTTTGGTTTATGGGGTAGAGATCTCATAAACATGCTTGCTTTGGAGAGGTTGGGATATATCAATAATGATGAATTGAAGATATTTGATAAAACACATGGACAGATATTAGAATACCTTAATGCACTGGAAAAAATGCAAGCATAACCAATGACCCCTGTCAATTAAAGAAGTAATCAGATATTGAGCATATTAGATATTCACTGTTCATTTGTTCATTTTCTTTTCGGCTTAGTCTCTTTATTAATCAGAGGTCACCACAGCAGAATGAACTATTAACTATTCCAGCATATGTTTTACACAGAGGATGCCCTTCCTGCACTAAGAAACTCCCATACAGACCTGCATACACACACATACAATACGGCCAATGTAAATTATTCAATGCACCTATAGTGCATGTGGGGGAAACCGGAGCACCTAGAGGAAACCCACTTGAACACGGGGAGAACATGCAAACTCCACACAGAAATGCCAACTGACCCTGCCAGAGCTCGAACCAGTGACTTTCGCCTATGATATTCACTATTCATAATCTATAATGCTTTTAATAATGTGCCCAAACTATTATGAAAATAAAACTATAGTCAGGATAATGAATTTCACTGGTAATATAAGAACAATGTTACTTTTTAATTACGTTTATTTATGCATTACCTGATCAGCCAAATTATATTTTGCTTTCATGTGCATTTGTCCCTCTGTGTTCTGTTGTTCTGTCATAGGCTAGTATTTTCATGTATTGTATTTTATATGTATTATTATTGTTTTGTACTGATTGTTTTCTATACTTTGTTGTAGTTTTGAAAAATGCAAAAAGCACATAAATTAATGTTTACAAAATTGTAATCACCAAATGGCCCCAGTTTATTAGTTATGTTAAGAATGGCTAACCTTTTAGAGTTTAATTAATTTTTTTGTTTATTTCAGTCATGAACAATTAAATAAAATGTAGTATGTACTAGTGAGGCAAATAACGTATAAACAAATTCCTCTGTAAAAAACTTTTGAATAATTATAGGAGTAAAATAAAAGTTTATGTAAGTGTTGCTGTAGAGACTGATGGCGAAATATATATTCAAATATGGTGTATATTGACATACTGTAATGAAGGAAACACTTAAGTTTGTATTAGGATGTTGTTTTTCCATTAGATTTAAAATATTTACAGGTGCAGAAAAATAAAAAAAATTGTATTGCATAAAATGTATTGGTTGCTTGTTGAGAAAGTATGACATGCAACCTCATTTCTTTAATTGTTTGTTTGCCGTTTTCTCCACTGCATAAATTCAAAGGTATAAAATTACATTAAAGCAACATTAAAATGTTAAGAAATTATTTTCAATGAAAAGATATGTAATGTAATTATTCATTTTCTTTTTTTACACCTTCATTAATCAGGTGTCACCACAAAGGAATAAACTCATACACTACGGATAATTTAGCTTACCCAATTCACCTATAGCGCATGTCTTGTGGGGGAAACCGGAGCACCCGGAGGAAACCTACGTGAAGATGGGGAGAACATGCAAACTCCACACAAAAATGCCAATTGACCCAGCTGAGGCTCAAACCAGAGACCAGAATTGTAATTAGTCTTTTGTTTTAATTACTGCAGAGGAATTGTAATAGGCTTTTAAAAGAATTATGTATTACGAACATTTAGTGTGCTTCTTTATTTTACTCACTGTGCACACTTTTATACCAGTACAGGTCATTTCATATTTTACACACACACAAAAAAAAAAAAAAAAAAAAAAAAAAAAAAAAAAAAATATATATATATATATATATATATATATATATATATATATATATATATATATATATATAAAAAATCTTTTACACCAAATGATGATATTTCCTCCACATATTTTGCTTTCACAAAAGTTATTTCGGACCCTTATGTCATCTTATTTTGCATTCTACCCAATAAATAATTTGTGCAGGAAGAAACATTTAACAAAATACTTTAACAATTAAAAGTAGTCCACGTTACTTTGGATGAAAGAGTCTAAAAATGAACTAATTTAGAAATCAAATAAATAAGCAAGTTATACAAAGTAGTGCTGTGGAATGATTAACTTCATCCAAAATAAAGTATTGCACTTACAAAATAATTATAGAGACAGGTACAGTTGAAACCAGAAGTTTACTTACAGTGTATAAAAAGGCACATAACCATTTAAAATAGTCAGATGTTAATGTGACTAAACCTTTTCTCTTTTAGGTAAGTTAGGATCAGTAAATTGGTTTCTGTTATGCTTAATAGCAGAATAATAAGAGATATTTTTTGAGAAATTGTTATAACTTTTCTTGAAAGTCAAGTTTACAATACAATAAGAGTATTACGCCTTTGAAAAAGCTCAGTTGATGGTGTCAAGGTTTTGGACGTTTCTGATTCGCTAATTGACAACATCTGATTTAATTGGAGGCACAACTGTAGAATAATATTTAAGGAAAAGGGGCGGCAGCATCATGTTGTGGGGCTGTTTTACTGCAGGAGGGAATGGTCTACTTCACAGCATAGATGGCATCATTAAGAAAGAACAATATGTAGAAATACTAAAGCAACATCTTAAGACATCAGCCAGGAAATTAAAACTTGGCCACAAATGGGTCTTCCAAACAGACCATGACCCTAAGCATACTGCCAAATTAGTTCAAATGTGCTTTAAGGACAACAGAGTGAATGTTTTGGAGGCCATCAGAAAGCCCTGATGTCAATCTTATAGAAAATTTGTGGGCAGAGTTGAAAAAGTTTGTGTGAGCAAGACAGCCCACAAATCTGACTGAGTTACACCAATTCTGTCAGGAGGAATGGGCTAAAACTCCTTCAAACTACTGTGAGAGGTTTGTGGAAGGATACCCAAAACATTTGACCAAAGTTATACAGTTTAAAAGTAAAGCTAAAAAAACATATCTCACTATCCTGGCATTTAGCAAATTTCAATCATTTAGGTAATCCTAACAAACTTAAAATAGTAAACGTTTAGTATGATTTACCATCAGACATTTTGTACAAAATGGTTATGTTCCTTTTTTTAGAGTGTATGTAAACTTTTGCTTTCAACTCTTTATATTATGTATATATTTATACATTTATATTTTAAAAGTGTAACGGTCATTATGGCGAATGAAGCCCTGCCTTCTAGTACAGAAGCCAATCATTGATCGCTATAGACTGGCAATACTCTGGGGACGGGGCTCAGACCAGACGCGAGTTTCTATTTTGTGTGATTTGAACGTTTAGTAATAAAACTAGTGAGACAGTTGTTGTTTAATTTCATTGGTGATTAATAATATGAAATTCAATGGAAAGCTTGGCAAACAGATTTGGAGAATTTGATGTTTCTTCATTTAAACAGAATGCCCGAGCATACTGCCTGAGAGGAGTTTCAAAGATGGCCGCCAAGTGAAATGACTGGCCTTAAAGGGACTTTGTTTATTTTGGGTGGTTGCTAGGCAGTTGCTAAAGTAAAAATGTTTTTGGGATGTCAATAATCACAATTAACAATTTGCACAGCACTAAAAAAAGGTGAATATTTGTAGAATGCTCAAATGTAACAGGGGCAGCGTGGCATACTATTAAGGATAAGTCTAGTAAATGATGACTGACCTCCTCTGCTGGATGTCCTGGTACTCCCCGCGTTTCTGCAGTCTCCAGGCCTCGCGCTCCTCAGATGTGGAATCATAGCTGTAGTAGTGAAGGAGAAACGGCCAGACTTCACCACGGATGGACGGATCGATGCCTCCGAAGAAGATTGCCTGAGAGAACAGAGACAGGAGCTCATGAGAAACGCCTGTCAGAACTGATCACATCAAATAAAAGCCCTAAACAGGGCCTTCGTGCACATTTGAGACAAATATTGTGACAGTTACAACCATACTAATGACATATACAAACAGTGGATGAGATGAAATACACTGCTGTAGTGTTTAGAAAGTTTGTGTTTGATTAAGTCTTTTCTTACCATTGGGGGTGTATTTATTTGTTTATTTGAACAAAAATATAACCCAACTTGTGCAATGTTATGTAATATTACTACAAGGACTCTTTGATCAACTTTGAACTCTTCGAAATAAAATGTGGTTAGTGGTCAAATTATAAGTGTCTTTACAGAATAAAAGCAGAATAGTTTTTAAATAAGCATTTTTAAATCAATTATTACTAGTTCAAGACCTTTTATTTATTGATAGCCTTATTGCCAATGTTGAGAATATATTTTTTCTAATTAATACTGTAGAAGCCACTATGCAATCTTCATTGCAGGATTCTTTCATTAACTTTTGTTTGTAAATAACAGCATTTACTAAAATAAAATGCTGTTAGTTGTCATATTATAAACGTCTTTACAGAATAAAAGTCCAAGCAAAATAATTATTATTACTTATATATATTTTTATCAATTATTATAGTGCTCGGCCATTGTATTTGTCTTTAATGTTATGCTGAAAACATATTTTTCTGATTCATATTTTCGTAAAAGCCACTGTGCAATCTATTTTGCTGGATTGTTTGATAAACCTTTTCATTTATTCACTCATTCATTTATTCATTCATTCATTTTCTTTTCAGCTAAGACCCTTTTATTTATCAGGGATTGTCACAGCGGAATGAATCAGCAACTTATCCAGCATATGTTTTTACGCAGTGGATGCCCTTCCAGCTGCACTGGAAAACACCTATATACTCTTGAATTAACACACATATGCTACGGCGAATTTAGCTTTCTCTATTCACCTACACCACATGTCTTTAGACTGTGGGGGGGAAACCGGAGCACCCGGAGGAAACCCACACCAACACAAGGATAACATGCAAACTCCATACAGAAATGCCAACTGACCCAGCCGGGGCTGTAACCAGATTCCTTCTTGCACTGAGGCCACTGTGACGCCCAGATAAACTTGTTGTTTGTAAACAACATATAATAATTATTATAAAATATTTTGTCATTTGTCAAATTATAAATGTATTTCCAGATTAGGGCTGAGTTCGCATGTTCCCCCCATGTTTGCGTGGGTTTCCTTTAGGTGCTCCGGTTTCCCCACAAAGTCCAAAGACATGCAGCTGAAATGGCATACGCTGTGTAAAACATATGCTGGATAAGTTAAGGGTTCATTCCACTGTGGCGACCCCAGATTAATAAAAAAAGAAAATGAATGAATGAATTTACAGAATAAAAGTCTAATCAGAATGAAAGTATTTTTATTATTATTTTTTAAATGCGACTTTATATAAAATAAATTAAAAAAATAAATAATAATAATAATAAAAAAGCACCACAGCACAGAAACGTGCCTTTAGCACCATATCATTATCCTTTGTCATCACAAGGATCATGTGACACTGAAGACAGGAGTAATGGAAATTCAGGAAATTGCATCAATTGTATCTAACTAAAAAAGTTTCACATTTAGAAATTTTCTTGTAATTAATAATTTTGTTGTTTGAAATTATTTAATTGGTTTTGCAGTATTATAAGCTTTAACACAGAACTTATAAATAACTCATATTCCAACAGCTTTCATTTATTCCATTGTTTTTGTTGAATATTTTTGAAAACAAACATATATTATTATCATTTATACATTATAACAAAAAAAATAACAAGTCTAGTATATCCAGATGCATCAGAATAATGTAGCTACTAGCTAACAATGTCTACATATTATACTATATAATATACTACGCCTGTCCTGTATGCCTCTGAGCTGACTTACCTGAACTGTCTCTATCACTGCTCTTACTAAATGTCCAATCAACATTATTCTCATGATCACTAAAACTCATCTCATCCTCACTTTCATCTGCAGGAAGAGTCAGTTCTGTCTTTTTTTCCTTTTACTTCCAATAGAACATGGTGGTCTGATCAAAAATAGTATTGCCATTAAATTTATCTATAATTCAAATGCCTTTACCTATGATTAATCAACATTATATTACTAGCATTCATGTGGTTATTGTTACAAAATAAAAGATCACAGCTCACCTTGCTAGCTAGCTAACCTATTGAAATATTGCACATTCCACTATTGGACAGTGTTGCCATTTGGAAACACACACACATTTGATCAATTTACAAAAAACTCATTTGATAAAAACTTTTTTTGAGTTGTAAATATGTCATCATAACTTACTGGAGGTGACATTTCAGATGTTTTTGTGGATCTGACATATTTTGATCCTTTGTTTTTATTGACGTTTTCTTTTGCATTCAGCAAGTACTCACAATAAACGGCAGTCTGTCAGAAATCACGCCACAGAAAAACACTGCAGGCCATGTGACTTATACAAAGCACATCATTGGCTAAACTAAGGTCTACTCTTTCCAACAAACAAATTAGAATGTTGGTCTTAAAGAAACAGTGGCAGGGAAACGAACATAAATATCATGCTGCCATATGGCAACACTATGTGGTAGAAGATTAAGTACAGTATATATATAAAAAAAAAATATATATATATATATATATATATATATATATATATATATATTAAATATATTACAATAAAAAAACATTGAAATATCATTTAATCATAATATTATTTCATAATATTCCTGCCTTTTTTTAAATTGTGATCAAATAAATAAATAAGCCTTGGTGAGCAGGAGACTTCTTTTAAAGACAATAAAAAATCTTAACTTTTCAGACCTCAAACTGTACGTTTTGACTATTATATTTTGACTGCAAAAGCTATAATGACAACACAGTTAAGAAGAGCAAATAGGACAAGTAATGTTGATTTGATTGACAGCCGTCCGTCATTCTAACCTTTCTAAGCTTGTACTCCTCCAGCACCTGGCCGCTGTTGTTCAGATGCCGGAGCCAAGAGCTGACGTCCAGCCGGCGGTACAGACGCTCCTCGGGGTGCATCTCGGCAGACGGTAGTGTGGGTCGACGGATGGAAAACTGCATACAGGACTTCTCATCTGACACCTAGAGCAGCGACAAAGTGTTACAGCAAAGAACATGTACGAGCAATACAGTGTAGATGCATAATTCTGGCTAATTCATGTACAGTACATACATTAGATGTATGTAGATGTAAAAATGTTAAAGTCTACTCTGTTTACTTTCCCTTGAGTGGTTCTGCTTTCTTTATTCTGTTGAACACAAAAGAAGACATTTTGAAGAAAGCTGAAAACCTGTAACCATTGACTTTCATAGGAGAGAAAACAAATACTATGGAAGTCAATGGTTACAGGTTCATGATCAACATAGGAGCAAACCATGGCAGAGGTTTTTGTGAACTATTCCTTAAATTGGACTGTGTGCGGCCGGGTCGTGGGGGCAGCAGTCTTAGGAGAGAACCCAAGAATTCCCTCTCCCTAGACACTTCCTCCAGCTCTACCGGGGGGATCCCGAGATGTTCCCAGGCCAGCCGAGAGACGAGCCGAGAGGCCTCCTCTCGGTGGGACATGCCCGAGCCACATCAGCTGACTTCTCTCGATGCGGAGGAGCAGCGGGTCTACTCTGAGCTCTTCCAGGGTGACAGAGCTCCTCACACTGTCTATAAGGGTGCGCCCTGCCACCCTGCGAAGAAAACTCATTTCGGCCGCTTGTATTAGAGATCTTGTCTTTTCGGTCCCGACTCAAAGCTCATGACTATAGGTGAGAGAAGGAACGTAGATTGACCTGTAAATCGAGAGCTTTGCCTTTCGGCTCAGCTACTTCTTTACCACAACGGGCCGACACAGCAACCGCATTACTGCTGCCGCTGCACCAATCCGCCTGTCAATCTCATGTTTTGTTAATTATTAGGAAACAATTCAATGCAAAAATAAAATATAAAAAAAAACCTTCCCTAACATTTTGGTTGTCCTTGCTGTCCATCCACAAAACTGATTTTTATTAGTACTGGCAATTAATCGAAAATCAATTTCAGCTTCAATTTGGTCTCCAGTGATTAACATTAATCATGATGAATTTGTTTCTACACAATTCACAGTTTCACATAGAATTCAGTGAAATCATGTAACATGACTTCTGCAACATTCGTTCAAGTTTCAAATGGAAAAAGAAAACGAGAGACGAGCAGCACACACACATGTAAAGTGATCTTTTAGCTTCAGGTGAGTGACTAAATAATCAAATACACGCAAAGTTGTGTCAAAAAATGACACTTTGTGATCATTCACATAGACCGCTGTTTGTTATGTAATGAATTTACAAACAGCTCAGAATGAAAATGCATGTATAACCATAAATTGGAAACATCTGGCTCTTAAATAGGAAGTGGAGCACTCAGTCAAGTTTACATTATTTACAAGACAGGACCCAGACAGAAAAGTCAGGCAGATTAATACTAAGAATAATAATAATAGAGTTATAGAGTGGAGCAAAGCACATAAAATGATCAGTAATTAAAAGAAAATAAATAAATATATATTTATATATTTTAAAATTTGACACACATCTAATGTTGGTATAAACAACTCATATTCCAACAGCTTTCTAATCATCTAATGCACCAGCTCCACGTCCACAACTTTCCACGCATTGAGTTAAATTAGGCTGTCCAGACTCTGTGTTGAGTCCATTACTACCATGGTTGAAACCCATTCAGGCAGTCAGGCAGCATAATGCAGAGAGTGGACCAAATCACATCAAATGATTGGCAATTAAAACTGGAAAACAACACCAGGCAGAGACAATCCAAGATGGCAGAGCCCTAGGTCTAAAATCTATAGTAAGACATGCCGTTTTCTGCTAAATGTTTCCAATAATGGAGTTTGTTTAATATGTTTTCATTAAAGTGGAAACTAATGTACAAAATAATGTAAACTGGACTGACTGCTTCACTTCCATTTTAAAGTGACAGCAGGCAAAAATCTCTGCTGTCGACTGCGTTTACCATCATTAATGGCACCCACACACACATTTGAAGTCAAAATTATTAAAAACGGTTTAAACTAATATCTAATGATGACATTACATAATATTGTTCTAGTAATTTTGCTAGACACTAGTATTCAGCTTAAAGTGACATTTAAAGGCTTGGCTTAGATAACTAGGCTAATTAAGCAACTCTGCTTAATTAGGCAAGTTTTTGGACAACAGTGGTTTGTTTTGCAGCTCATTTACTTTAAGATTTGTAAAAAATAAATAATAATAATAAACTGTGACATTTTCCTTGCTCTGTTAAGAAAATATTTTAAAAGAATAAATAAAAAATCCAATAAATTCAATATGTTAATCATTTTTCTATTATGCGCACAATATTTTTATGTGTTTTTTTATGCTCGTGTCTGTATTTACATTCTCACACTTGCTAACGGTGTCCCATTAGGTAATGAAATTCTACATGTATAGTTAAGATGTTGAAGCCCAACTGAAGACCTGAGCCAAATGCGGTCAATACTTCATCAAAGAGGTCATGTGCAAAGAGCGCAAGTGTGGGTTATTTGAACAAGGCATTTGACTCTCCAACTGACCTGGTCTTTGAGCTGAGTCTCCCTGCAGCATTTCCACTGCTGAAACACCTCAGCCAGTTTATCCAGGCCTGCGTGGTGGAAGTGAAGGATCTTGTACTGGCTCTCTCTGCTGGCGATGACCAGCTGCCCACAGGTGCAGGCCTCATCACTAGAACACACATACGAAAAACAAACACTTTTACTTTCAATCTGGACACAAAACCACATCATGAAGATCAATGGAAAGATTATGAATATGTTCAGTGTTGTATAAGTTACTTCAAACAATAGTTGATTATTAAATGCATCATTAAAGTTGTGTGTAAATTACTTTTTAATGTCTGAAATGTAATAATTTCTCAAGAAGTCATTTAATTTCTTGACTCGTTTGAACTTGCACTAATTATATTAATTATAAATCTCTAAGCGCACAGAATATATATAAAATCCTTATAATTTCTTAAATCTAACAGGGACTTTAGCTTTATTTAAAATGACACTTAATAAATGATAAACATCTTTGTCTATCAGAATACAAAAAGCTTATTAGTTATAATTCAATTCATTTCAAGTGTATTTGTATAGCGTGTTTCACAATATTATTATTTATTCAATGCAGCTTTAAAAAAGGTGCACATTATTGCATTACAATCAAATTTGGAAAAGTTAAGGTTATTAGCTACCATAGCTTTATTAGCTTCTAATAACTTTAATTAATTACCTAGTAACTAATAGCTTTTAAGTTATTACATATAAGCAGAGTTAACCTGCAGTTATATAGCATATAGGTGATGTTTAATGTTTATGTGTACATTTAATGCAGTGTGTTTGTGTATTAAGTGTATGCGAGTTATAATGACGCCATATTTCATACATATGATAGCCTGACATACATTTACATCTATTTATTGTTTCTTAAACATGTTTAATTGGCTGACAAGTCTAACATTCTTTATTTTTAAAAACGTCAAGGTATATTTGTTTTAGGGTTGGGTGATGTCGAACAATTAGCAGTCATGGTGTGGAGGATTACGTCTGAGTCTGAAACCGCATGATCGGGCCCGATCTCCGATTACGTGATCGGATCTCAACATCCCTAATTATGATTATGTGGTACAATAAAACCAGGGCATGCTTTCCTCTTCCTTCGACTACAGTTATGATGATTTCTTTTTATTATTAGCACTTGATTTTACTGAGGCTTTGTTGGTAATGACATTTGTTATATTGGATTTCCTCTTCAAAAAAAAGGACTATTTTCAACAAACCTAGAATTTTATTCACACCACAGAAACATTTTAATATCTTAAACAAAATCATCCTGAGGGTAAAGCATAATGATTTATAACCTGCAGCCATAGTGAAATAAAATGAGAAGAACTGTAATATAATTCAAGGAGGTGAATTAAATATATGAGGTGTTTCATAAAACAGAGACTTATGGAAAAGTTGAATTCTACAGGGTGAAGAAAAGCCAAAGGGTGTTATATTCAGCAATGAAAGATATTAAAAAGCATATCAAAATGAAGGAAATGATCCCTGACCTGAAAAAGAGCCGGAGTGACCTCATGTGACCCAGGTCAACTCTGAACACGCCACACAGGTGCTCTAATGCCATGACATTCTGCTGCTCCTCCCAGCGGACTCCCTGTGAATGACTGCTTTCTGAAGGGGCGTGGCTGTCCAGGCTGGAGGCAGAGCTTGCAGAGTGAGCCATTGGTTCATCGCATTCCCTGCAAATGGAGGCATTATAACCTCTATTTATATTATTGGATTCAAAAGATGATGAAATGATAATGCTCATTCTAAATGCTGCGAAAACAGTCTGAAGAAAAGTATTTTTCTTGAAGCTACTTTGGAACGATGTGTACTGTGGAAGCGCTTAATTAATGAATATGCTGAAATGGAGCTTTTCATGGCTCTAAGGGTCAAACAACAAAAAATAATGTCAAGAATCTTGGTGTGATTCTGGATGTGAGTTTCAGTTATCATGTCAAAGCAGTAAGTAATTCAGCATACTATCATCTCAGAAACATTGCGAGAATAAGATGCTTTGTTTCCAGTGAAGACTTAGATAAACTTGTTCATGCTTTTATCAGCAGTAGAGTGGATTACTATAACAGTCAGGCAGTTATAGCTCATCCAGAGTGCTGAAGCCAGGATTCTGACCAGATCCAGAAAATCAAAGCACATCACACCTGTCCTCAGGTCTCTACACTGGCTCCCAGTTACATTCAGAATAGATTTTAAAGTATTACTACTTCTCTATAAATCACTAAATGGTCAATAGGACCTCAATACATTACATATATGCTCACTGAGTACAAACCTAACAGATCACTCAGATCATTAAGTTGAAATACTGTAAATTAGAAATTCCAAAAGTTCAATCAGAGCAGGGCTAATCGGCTTTCAGCTAGTACGCCACCCGCTGCTGAATTCAGCTTCCAGAAATGATCAGATGTGCTCCAACATTAGGCACATTCAAATAAAGACTGAAAACACATCTGTTTAACTGTGCCTTTACTGAATGAGCACTATGCTACATCCAACAGCACTATTACGTCTTTCTTTTTCATTCTTTTATAACCTGTTTAACACATTTAAATCTGTTTTTATGTTATTGTCTCTTTTATTCCCGTTTATGTAAAGCACTTTGAATTGCCATTGTGTATGAAATGTGCTATATAAATAAACTTGCCTTGCCATGCATCAACAAAAACAAAATGTATACTGTATGTATACTATTTATATCCTGCAAAGCTATGCATATATTTCTTTCCATAAAAATATTTAACAAGACTTTTTTGTTTGTTTCTTTAAATCAACTGACTGATCATTTCTTTAATTAAATCCTAAACGACTTTTAGGTTTTTTTATTTTAGGATTTGAGGAGTACTTAATAATCTACCAAATGATACAACTTAAATTGATTTATCTATATATTTACCCATTTTCTTTTTTATTATTATTATAAATAACTATAAAAAACTCCATGAGTATGTGATTAGCAAAACTGTCAGTTTGTATTTTGTGCACTTGTATGTATTTTATTGTATGATATTATTGCTGCAAAGAAGGTCGCTGGTTTGAACCTCGGCTCAGTTGACATTTCTGTGTGGAGTTTACATGTTCTCCCTGCCTTCGCGTCGGTTTCCCCCACGGTCCAAAGACATGCGGTACAGGTGAATTGGGTACGCTAAAATTGTCCGTAGTGTATGAGTGTGTGTGTGAATGTTTCCCAGAGATGGGTTGCGGCTGGAAGGGCATCCGCTGTGTAAAAAACTTGCTGGATTAGTTGGCAGTTCATTCCGCTGTGGCGACCCCAGATTAATAAAGGGACTAAGCCAAAAAGAAAATGAATAAACAAATGAATGAATCAAGATAACAAAATAAGTTAATAATTTAAAAACCAAATTAGCCCCATACATATTACTGCATATCAATCTAGACAACCACCACATTCACTTCAAACAGTGATCCAATTTAAAATAACAACTGCAATTGGGATTAATTACTTTATACGTATTTCTTCGGGCTCTAGGAATTCTAAACCCGTGTCCTGATGGTAACATTTCAAAAGCTGAGTAAAGGGGATGAGTATTATCTTTACAAATCGCAACTGCTGTTTTTTTTACCCATAAAGGAGTCAAACAACTGACTGTTGATGTTGTTTGTGATTTGCCTGATTGATAATTTGCGATAATTTCTTCTTCTGTTTAGGTGTTGTGTTACCAAACCATGAAACAATATTATATGCGAGAACACTCTTTATTGTTTCCCAGAGATGGGTTGCGGCTGGAAGGGCAACCGCTGCATAAAGCAGAAAAGAAAATGAATGAAAGAATGAACACTCTCTATTAACGATCTACATGCCATGTTTAAAGTCTGTGTACTAACATTAAAACTTCTCAACTTAGGGAGGAGATAGAGGCGCTGACTTGCCTTCTTATAAACAGCCTCAACATTACTATTAAAATTCAGTTTATTGTCAATAATTGTACCTAAATACTTAAAATCTGAGACCTGCTCTACTATCCTTCCATTTTTGAGGACTGGTTTATAAAATCTAGTATCTACTGCTTTTGTTTGACTACCCAGACATGGCTCTTTTGTTTTCCCAACATTAAGATGTAACAAACTTTCGCCAAACCAATCTGTTATACTATTAATATATTTTTAAATATAAGGAGATATTCATTTCTTCCTGACAGGAAACCAACGCCAAATCATGTTGATTGTATTGCAATTTTTAAAAAATCCTAAATTTATTAAAATACATATGATACTATGATGCACAAACCTGCAGGCAAAGAGAAGATTGACCTGCATTTTGACAATATTTTAAGGAAAAAAGTATATACTGTATAATTATTTCCTTTATTTATTTCCTTTATTATAGATCACACTGAGACAGTACTGTCTCTTCTTCCAGTGAGACCCCGGCCATCTTTATTGTCAAATCCTGCTTTTTAAAAAAAACTTCCATTTAAAAGTTCTTTTTAACCAGCCAAAGTGGCTAGTAGGAGTATCTGTCTAACCCGCCACAGCTTACATTTACCTGCATTTGGCTGGTTGCTGGGTGTTAATGTCAATCCCTGTACATAAGTATTCACAGTCTTTGCCGTGAAGATCTAAATTGAGCTCAGGTACATTCTGTTTCCACTGATCATTCTTAAAATGTTTCAGCAGCTTCATTGGAGTTCACCTGTGGTAAACTCAGTTGATTGGACATGATTTGAAAAGGCATACACCTGTCAATATAAGGTCCCAGGGTTGGTAGTGCATGTCAAAGCACAAACCAAGCATGAAGACAAAGGAATTGTCTGTAGACCTTTCGAGACAGGATTGAGGAATATGAAGGTATTTTTGGTGCAAAACTCCCAAACAGCTGTAAAAGTGTAATTTGTAGTTGTAAAAAATAGCCACACATGTGTATCAGTACATTTGTACTCGCAGAGCAAATTTGCAAATGTGTATCAGTACATTTGTACTCGCAGAGCAAATTTGCAAATGTGTATCAGTAAATTTGTACTCGCAGAGCAAATTTGCAAATGTGTAGGTATTTTTTGTCTCCAACAAACACAACGCAACATTTACACCTGCACAAATCCTTCAGTACAGGTGCACAAATCCCATCGGACGAATCACAAATGCAGAAACTCATCCGCTCATGTTCTTTGCTACTATTGTTTCAGTGTATATGGTGCAAAACACATTCACACACCTGCATCCAGAAATGTGAAGTCACAGACAAAACTTGCACATCTGTAGATTAGAATGTGTATCCGCACAAAGAGAGCTGAATGTGTGTAGAATGTTTGATTATTTTTTTTCTAAGCACGAACACAAATATGTTCCTGCAACTGCTCAAATCTGTCGCTACGAGTCTCAAGCGCTGTTTTTCACTTGCAAATCTACGTTTCGCTCTCTCGCTCTTCTGCACCATACATCACTGTGACATTTGGTGCAAAAGTGACTTGTGTATCTGCCAACCAAAACGTGGGCTCTCAGAGAAATTCAGCCAATAGGGGATGGGGCGTGACGTCACCGCTCTAGCGCTGCGGAGGCTGAACTTCGAAACCGAAACCCCCTTTGCGAGATTCGCTGCATCTATACCTGATTTGCGTTCAAAAATGCCTGCTTAATTATTTCACAGTAGGAGCAAACATGCCTTAAGAAAAGGAGTACGTTTAAACTTTAGTAACCATAAAAAGTACGCCAGGTGGATGCCTTTCTACTCCAGGAAGCCGCAGCCTACGGCATGAAGGAGGAAGAGGACGCGGTCAGTTTGAAATGTGAGTATTAAACCAAAGACAGTTCTTTGTGTTAAATTTGTATTTGTTGAGCTACTGTACAGTGCACTGTAGAGTAAAGAGGCTTTAAATTATAGTCTATTTTATTTCGCTGTAAATGTTGATTGTGTATTGTTACGGTCTCCAGTCAGCACATATAAAGTAAGGTTTCAAAGGTAAAAAAAGATTATTATCAAATGTCTGACAGAAAAATGTGAAGTGTTGCAGATCACAAGACAAAACAGACATCTGAGTGAGTGATGTATTTGTGCAGATGTAGAATCTGCTGTCAATTGACTGTTGCCAATACTGTTTCAATTAGATACATGTAATCTTACTAAATGAGAATAAAGAGTCATTGTTTAATCTGTGCATCAGTATAGTTGATCACTTGAGGAATTGTGACTGCGTGAGCTTAAAAAAAACACGTTTTGGCAAGCCAGACTCATTTACAATCTTGATTAAAGTATTCTGTTTTAATAATTTTAATCAATTCAGGCTGCAAAAGATGAAAGAGAAACTAATTCAGCATAGAGCGCAGATTTCTGTGCGCATCACGCGTCTGAACGCGCATTAACAAATGCACCTCCCTTTAATATCAGTTCATGCAGTCGTAATTCATACAATAGAAAGTCTTAAAGAACACTAACAGTTAAACAGCACTGTGGGATAATCAGGAGATGTATTGGGCCCGCTTAAACATTATAACATTTTTCTCACGGATAGAGCAAACATTTATTTAACACAGAAACGGACAGATCACAGGCAGTTTCAGTAGTAAAGTTCGTGCAAAGTGCAACATACACAATTCAAACACCAGTGCAAAGCACTTTGTTGCAGTTTGTGTCAAAAACATCAATATTTCGACACATATCCACACATAATCTTGCTTTCGATTTGCTCTCTCTAAATGCGCGTTCTTCTCTTGACTCCCGCTGCTGTGTGTACCTCATCTGTAAATTTGGAGATGTTAGTAACTGAACTAATTTCAATATCACTGACTCGATTAATTAAATACGAAAGCCGTGTAACGTGCTATCGATTGACGTGTTGTCATTTTTCCCCTTTAAATCTCGTAAATTATCGTATGTGATCTCTCTGTTATTGGACTTTTTAACTGAGGGAAAAACGTAAAAATCAAACACAAGATATCTTAAACTGTTACTGTTCACTGCTGTGCTCAACAATACAATAGTGCAATACAATATTAAAAAGTCAAAATTCAATAATAGAATAAATCTTGATAATTCAAGATGTTTCAGGGAGCAGGTCGACGCACACACACAGAGCGCTATGATAAAGCACATGAAACGCCATGTGTGTGTCGATTAAAACATGTTATATGCGAAATAAATTCAGTTTTTTTTTGATAGGCTATAAATGATACTGTATTAGCTATAACTAATAAGTAAGCTAATATGCAAAGAAAATCTGCTATTCAAAAATTTGTTAGTTATAAAAAAATACTAACGTCCATATTGGCTCTGGTGCATTAAATAGTAATAATAACATTAAGATTTTTTTTTAATCACAAAATATAGAAAATAGTATGGAATGTTGACATTTTTTAAAGGTATCATCTTAAAGTTGTAAATTCCAACACTAAAGTTAAAATATTTAATTTTTATAATTCAGCTTTTGCTGAACAAATGATTAAATGTTTTAATTTTAGGGAATAAAAAGTTTTATATTGTTTGTCAACTCTGTCATGGATGATTTTAGTAATATTTAGAAATAATAATAAATAATAACAAGAAAAATCGTAATGTGTAGTTACTAAATTTAAACTGAATTGTCAGTACTTTAGTTTTACAACTTTTTAGCAAAACCTTCTACTTGCTATAACTGCAAAGATCACATGATACTAATGAAATCAGGATTAAAATATTTTTTATTTGTAAAATATGTGATTAATGAAATATTAAGTTTTCCTTTTGTAATTGTGATAATAATAGCATTGACAGTTTACAGTTTAAACATTTAAAATTAAAATATTGGTAAAAAAAATTTTTTTAAAGAAAAGCAAAATAAAATATTTTTGCATGATGGAAAAATGCACTAACTAATTCGTAAATCAAGAAATCGTGATTTTTGGTAATATGATCTTTGAAAATGATGAACACATTTTATAAATATTTTAAAATGTAGCAATGTAATGTAACAATTTTTTAAAAGCTGAAAAAAGGATGGCTTGGTCACTAAATGTACCTGCAACTACAGAATTACCCATATAGTTCATGGAGAGCAACATGTTTTTCTGGAGTTTTCTTGCAAAACTTGGCAAACATCACTTAAGCAAGCAAACACTGACATAAATATAATCTGCAGTACAAATACTAGTTTTAAAATAAAAGTTAGTTTGCTTTATTAAAATGACAGAGAATACTATAAATTATTTTATTACCTTTAAAATAATTGTTTATATATATATAATTTGTTTATTTTTGTTGGCCAACCCAAAATGTCACTTGGCCCACCCTAAAGTTCCAAGCTGGAGCCGGGCCTGATCACAGAGGTGATTTATTCTAGTCTCAATGCTACAGGGAGGCTTTTATTGAGTACAGTACAGAAACTAAAAAAACATATTTTCCATTTGCTATTTATTATTAGTTATTGTATTTTCAAACAGTGATTACATCAGCTTTCTGATTGCTGTTGTGTGTGTGTGCTTTTTCTGCAGAGCTGTTGTGATGGAGCTGGACCTGTAGACAAGGGAACTAACACATTTGAGGAAAAAAGAATCCAAAATAAGAGGTAGGATAATTTTATGACTAGCACTACAGAAATCAAATAACACATTGTGCAGTAAAACAACATTGTTTTTTGAATGTTTTTTTATGTTTTGTATGATCTGAAATATCTGCAGATTGGTGTGTGTGGTGAGGGTAAAGAAGTCCACAGCAGCATCTTGGAAATGCTGTAATGCAGGGGTGCCCAAACTCAGTTCTGGACGACTGGTGTCCTGCAGAGTTTAGAGTCAACTTCAACTATAAACTCTGCAAGACAGCAGCAGTTCTGGACTGAGTTTAGCCACTCCTGTTCTTCTATAGTGAACTGAACAAGACCCTGCATCAGTCCACATGCCCTTGTGTCCTCATCTGGACCAGATGTTGCTGTGGTCTCTTCATCATCCGTATCTCGGGCATGAACTGCCATGCATCACCGTCCTGTTTCAGTCGGACTGCAGCAATGAGGGATGTGATGATGGCGAAGTCCCTCTGATCATCTGTGTGGAGATACAGCAAAACATGGGCTTCTGTCTGTAATACATCACTGTTAGAATAAAGCTTGGTTTCATGTGTTGTTGACTTGTATTTATTTGTCATGATTACTCATATTCATTCTTTTAATAATATAATTATGTTTCTGTTTGTTTTCAATAAATAATGATAATACTTTCAATATTGTATGCATTTCCATTGTTTAACAGAAATGTAAGAAAATAAGATGCATTGCCCAGTGACTACTAGTAGATTTACTTAGTTAATTGTCCACATTTATCATTACTAGCAATAGATTCTTGGTAAAAATGTTAAGTAAATATACATTTTTTTTGGAGTGTAAAATGAATAATAAAACATGGTAGCATTAGTTATTAAGGTAAAGATGGTTTTATATTTGCACATTTAAACATTTTAATGGTTTGTATATTGTTTACCATGGTACTTTAAATATTTGGTCTGAATGACTTCAAAACAACATTAGCACTAATATTTAATTGACTATGGACAGTGCTGTATTTTGAAAGTCATTGGCTGCTAATATGATTTTCCTATATAGAGTTTGAAAATCTTTTTCTGAAATTATATTATTAAGGAGAAAGTCAGAATGTGCAACTATAAAACCAACTTCACCTCAATGCATTGGATGCACCCTGGTCTGCCATTTTTCTAAAATAAATATAGCCTATGAATTAAATAGTTTAATCGTATTATGTGATAAGAATGAATACCAAACATGACATTAGGGCAAGCAAGCCACGTTACGTTTCGTAAAACAAGAATTGTTATCCTAAGTATGAATACTGATCACTAACATAGTTATATTTAAACTAACATCAAACTGTACAACTATAAGTGGTTTTAAAAAACGAAGCAATGAAAACGTATCCTAACTGTATTGCTGCTTTCAGGATGTCATCGATTCAGCTCTGCAGAAAAAGCACACACACACCAGCAATCAGAAAGCTAATGTAAACACTGTTTGAAAATACAATGACTTATAATAGATAGCAAATGTAAAATATGTTTTTTTAGTTTCTGTACTGTACTCTACAGCGAAATAAAATAGACTATAATTTAAAGCCTCTTTACTCTACAGTGCACTGTACAGTAGCTCAACAAATACGAGTTTAACACAAAGAACTGTCTTTGGTTTAATACTCACATTTCAAACTGACCGCGTCCTCTTCCTCCTTCATGCCGTAGGCTGCGGCTTCCTGGAGTAGAAAGGCATCCACCTGGCGTACTTTTTATGGTTACTAAAGTTTAAACGTACTCCTTTTCTTAAGGCATGTTTGCTCCTACTGTGAAATAATTAAGCAGGCATTTTTGAACGCAAATCAGGTATAGATGCAGCGAATCTCGCAAAGGGGGTTTCGGTTTCGAAGTTCAGCCTCCGCAGCGCTAGAGCGGTGACGTCACGCCCCATCCCCTATTGGCTGAATTTCTCTGAGAGCCCACGTTTTGGTTGGCAGATACACAAGTCACTTTTGCACCAAATGTCACAGTGATGTATGGTGCAGAAGAGCGAGAGAGCGAAACGTAGATTTGCAAGTGAAAAACAGCGCTTGAGACTCGTAGCGACAGATTTGAACAGTTGCAGGAACATATTTGTGTTCGTGCTTAGAAAAAAAATAATCAAACATTCTACACACATTCAGCTCTCTTTGTGCGGAATACACATTCTAATCTACAGATGTGCAAGTTTTGTCTGTGACTTCACATTTCTGGATGCAGGTGTGTGAATGTGTTTTGCACCATATACACTGAAACAATAGTAGCAAAGAACATGAGCGGATGAGTTTCTGCATTTGTGATTCGTCCGATGGGATTTGTGCACCTGTACTGAAGGATTTGTGCAGGTGTAAATGTTGCGTTGTGTTTGTTGGAGACAAAAAATACCTACACATTTGCAAATTTGCTCTGCGAGTACAAATTTACTGATACACATTTGCAAATTTGCTCTGCGAGTACAAATGTACTGATACACATTTGCAAATTTGCTCTGCGAGTACAAATGTACTGATACACATGTGTGGCTATTTTTTACAACTACAAATTACACTTTTACAGCTGTTTGGGAGTTTTGCACCAAAAATACCTTCATAGAGGAAAGTTATAGAAAAATTTATGCTGCTCTGAAAGTTCTATTGAAAACAAGGCACCACTCATCACCAGACATATACCATCCATACAGTGAAGCATGGTGGTGGTAGCATCATGCTGTGGGGATGTTTTTTAGCAGCAGAAACTGGAAGACTAGTCAGGATAGAGGGAAAGATGAATGCAGCAATTCACAGAGACATCCTGAATGAAAACCTGCTTCGGAGTGCTCGTGACCTCAGACTGGGGCGATGTTTTATCTTCCAGCAGGGCAATGACCCAAAGCACACCACCAAAATATCAATGGAGTGGCTTTACAACAACTATTTATTTTTAAATGAAATAAATAAATGAATTTAATCCATTTTGGAATAACGCTGTAACATAATAAAATCTGAAAAAAACTGAATTGATACAAACACTTTCCGGATACACTATATTACTGTATCATCTGCATACAGGTGTATTTTGCTGAACCTATTCCAGTCGTTAACGTAGATAGAAAACACCAATGCAGCTAAAACAGATCCTTGGGGAACCCCAGTGTTGACGTGAAGAAAGGATCATTTATAATTTTTCAACAGTCACACATTGAGTGTGTTCTGAAAAATAATTCTAGAGCAGATTGACGAAAACCTAAAAGCCTAAGTCTCTGTAACAGAACAATGCACAATAAGATCAGAGATGCTAAAACAATTAAACATGAACACCTGTCCCACCCATGTTGCCTTTAATATTATTTACCATATTGTTACACTGTGTTAGTAACAATTAAAAACTCACACACAGGGAAAAAACACACTAAAAAATCAGTTTTAGTTAATTAAGTGTTATCCAGCTAAAGCTCTTGCATGACAGCCTAATTCAGCTGCTCTCTCTTCTCTAAATCTGCACATCAATTCATCCGTTCTGCCGTGATGCATTTACCGTGTGAAACTCCGCGACAGCTGTAGGTGTGGATACGCACTTGTGTGTGTGTGTGTGTGTATAAGGACACTGGAAGTGAAGAGGAATGAAAGGAATGCTGGGAGGTTATTGTGCTGGCAGGAGCGGAGCAGAGGCACAAATCAAGCAGCCCTGGCAGCCAATTTCCCCTGACAGCCCTCCTTTCTCTCTCTCCATCTCTCTGTGAATGTCTCTCGACCTCTCGGCACAGCCAGAGCTGTAACCCGAACCGTGGGACCTCGGAGTCTCTCTCACACTCGTCTTTTTTCCCCCTAACAGAGCACGTCTAACAGGCCGAACGCACCTCCAGACACGTCTCCTGTCACCGATCCACTCCGGCAGCCCAAGGTTTATGGGTCATGTGGTATTTGAGAGGTCTTTGGGAGTCCAAACTGCTGCGGGATCACACACACACATACACGAGGCCAGATGGCAGGCCGAGGCCGTGACAGACAGCGCACGGTGCAAAGTTACAGCTCATGTTCTTTACAGGCCCTTGTTTTCTACTCTGGGAGCCTAGGGGTGGGCTTTACAGAGCAGGAAAAATAAGGTGACCAAACTGAACCGAGCGTCTAGTTAATTAGATGGATGGATGGCAACACAGATGTTTGTTGGGAACAGGAGAAACGGGAGAAAATGAGATAACTGAATTGAAGTGCAGTCTTCAGAGGGATGAGAGTTGTGGCTCAAATGACTCCCTATATGTAGTGAATGAGTTTAGTGTAATCCCAAATGGATACACTAACTTTTTTATTGATGGGAAATTGAAATCATTAGGGCTGCACGATTTGAAGAACATAATCCAACTGCAATTTATCTGATTAAAATTGCGATTTAAAATGCAATTTACTATAATTTCATAGAAGAGCGCCAGGTTTGATGTGGTGGTTTTAAAAGCACCAAAGAAAGACCAAGCATAATCAGAAAGTACGCTACACGATGCTATACTGTTTATTTAAAACCACTTTTCCAATAAATTAAAACCGATTCAGTTCAGTTTAGCTTAAATGTCACTGTTATGCTTGATTCACATGGGGCTTCAGCGTCAACGCTTGACAGTGGGCATGTCTGAAGTTGGGTTTGAAGCGGTCATCATAGCTGTGTCACCTGTGTCAGGAAATTAAACCACAATTGGCTACTGCCTGAGCTGAGGTATTTGCATAAAGCGTTCTGATTGGCTGATGCTTCTGTTGGCACTTGAAAAGTGAGAAATTCCCAACTTCCGAAGCCATAGATATAAACATTAGATACTGCATAATTGCATAGATAATGCATAAGGCATACCTTTCAATCCTCCCGTTTTTTCCGGGATTCTCCTGTATTTTAATGTTCTATCCCGCTATCATCCCGTAAAGGTATTTTCCCGTATTTCTCCTGTATTTTCAGTTTTTCTCTGAACAGTCGAGCCTCCCTACACGCAACCCATTTTGCCGAACCACCAGGGGTCACCCCCTTGCTCTAAAATGTAAGTCTTCTGTGTTTTCGCTTTGTTTATTAATGAAAAAACTTATAAATAAATATTAAAAACGGAGCGATTTCCTTTCCTTTTGATTACAGGTGCCGTCGCCCATCCTATACAATCCTCAAAACACTCATATAACTTAATGGTGCAGGACAGTCAGCTGAAGTGCTCCATAGTAATAAACAGATGTTGTTTCCCAAATGGATTCTGTACACGCGATTTGAAGCGGAGAGAAAGTCTGGTTTTTGGGTGCGTGTTTAAACAGACATACACACATAATTAATAATAATAACATATAAGGATGTCGATCTTGATGTTTTTTTCCCAAACACAACTAATTTCGTCTTAAATGAGCATAAAAAGTCAGGAAAGCAGTCGAATGCTTTCATTATAACATTAGATGTGTGCATTTTTTAAGTGGCACCTCTTAATTCATGTAATAAAAAACTCTTATTAAATGAGAGATTCATTCGTTGCTCTTTAATCAGAATGTGTAAGTTATACAGTGGAGAAAACGGCTAATGAGATTGATAGCTTGATTCTGTTTCATTATAACAGCTATTAATTTTAATAAACTGAACTGTTTGCTAATTTATTTGCTGCTAATGTATACTATTTTTTCCTTCTGTAAATAATAATAAAACATATTACTGGCCAGCTAACAGTTTATTTACAATTAAACAGCTCCAAATTAACATATTTAGTAATTTGGGCATTGGGGGGGTGAATCCCTTATTATGGTGGGCATATCCCTTATTTTCACATTCCAATGTTGACAGGTATGCATAAGGGCCCCGAGCATGCCTCAATACCCTCGCCATATTTGTACAGGGCCCCCAGGAGGATAAAACTCATTCAACCACACTCAAGACCAAAGCTATACCTGCCAACATTTCCGTTTTTTCCGGGAATGTCCCGTATTTCAGACCCATCTCCTGTTTTGGTTGTCTCTCAGAAAACTAGCAGAACTTTTGTTCTAAACAAATATGGTTATTGATAATACAGTGACTAAATGCACTGATTATAAGGCAAAGTAGCACCAACAACTCACACTAAATTCCAGGCTTATGCTAGTTTGAATAAAATCAGCAAACAAATGTAAATTAAATGTGACAACAAGATGCTGCAGTGCTAGAAAGTTGGCTAAATGAATATAAAATAATTTAATATTTAATATTAAATCACAACCCAATGAGCACAATGCCACAACAAAATCACAAGCACACGCTCTTTGTCGGCAATGCCCATGGTAACACTTATCCATTGATGTATTTGCATAGAGACCACCAGGAAAACTCCCAATCATAGATATGTGTATATATTTGTATTTATCAATTGCTCCAAATGGCCAGTCAGCCACTGCACCTTGGTCCCACCTTCATTTCAAATTAACTCTACTCTATACCAAAATGGCAGCTCTATTGACACATTCCTTCCAATAGACAACAATAGCATAGGCGACATCTAGTGTATGTATCTATATTCTGCAGCGAGCAACGCAGCAGTGACGGATTCACAGTTTGGTAATGATTGACGTCACCCATATAAAGTGAATGGGAAGCATTGACGCTGACGCCCCGTGTGGATCGGGCATTACATTTCAGTTCCTTTTATTTCAGTTTGGTTTAACACAAATGCCACTGCTGAAGGATGATCCACTGAAAAGCAGCTCCCCAACCAAGCAAGTCATAGGTGAAACAAAAATTAAAAGGTACTACAATACTATAGGTACTAGGTACTATAGGTACTACAATCCTGAACTACAATCCTATAGGGATGAAATAAGTCTGTTAATTAGAAAGTTAGAAAATGAAGATGAATAAACGCAACAGTATTGACTGACAGATGTTAGTTTGATTAGTGAGTTGGATAGCTAGCCACAAAGATTTTAGTTCAGGATAGAAAAAAAAAATCAAAATAAGGTAACTTGTGAGACAGATGTTAGTTTGTTGATTTTAATTATTAAGTTGAAGAGATGGATAATTTGAACAAAGAGAATCAG